TAAAAGCAGTTTTGTCAGGAGATCCCTCTGTGACTTTCAACAGAATGACAAGAGAAGAGTAACACCAAATTAGGGCAATAATCAAAGGTTTAGCCAGAGCATGACCTCTGCCCAGATCCCAGCCTAGGGATGTCTTACAGGAATATTCTGCAAACTCAGACAAAACAAGCCTTATGCTTACTCCGAAAGTTTCTTTTCTATTTATCAAGACAGCCTGACTAGCTAGACGAGACCTAAAAAAAATATCTGCAGATATCTCACTATTGCAAAAAGAAAAGAGTTTGGGCCTGCTGTTTCGTTAGGTTTGCAGGAACACCCTTAGGTAACCAGGCCTGCAGAAGACCCTGCAGCTATTTTCCTCCCGCACTTAAAGATAAAATATACTTATCCAAAATAAGACTACATGAAATAAAGTGAAATTTCAGACCTTGCCTGCAAGACAGAACAAGATCTACCATCTGCAGGAGACGGGTACAAACTATGGAGTGGAGTTAATAAAAACATCATTGTGGCACTTGGACACCAGTCAGTAAATATTTGACATTCGAAGCTTGCATACAAATGCCCAACACACGCCACAACTATGACACAAACACGGCTAACAAATGAAAGTCTATTTTTAGAACCTCCATCCCTTTCTGCCCTCAGAGAATCGCCTTAATCCCTAATGAGCAGCCTCACGGCCCGGCGGTTTACCTTCCAGGATGGATGAAGCCTGCACGTGTGAGTGGAATAACCGGCAGAAGACAAGGGGCAGGGGCACGGCAGAAACCCCGGCAGCCGCAGCAGCAACGCGCAGCGACGGCGTCGGGTTGCGCAGCGGCGCGAGAAAGCAACCGCTACGGAAGGCACCTGGGCTCCTGCTCGAATTCAGCACCTGCGTGTTGAATCCGAGTCGTGCAGGCAAAGGCAGGAGCTAGCAGAAGGAAATAGGATGGAAATGCACCCGGACAGCAAAGCCTGCCCTGGTGTGCAAGCCAGCCACCCGCTGACCCGAGCTGGAAAGAAACTTGCCTGTTGGCAAGTATTTCCGCAGCAGGTTGTGACAGGGCCCAAAGACTCATGAAATATCCAAAGACCATAGTTTTGACTTTATAAATGTTATGTTAGCCTTTATGGCAGGTAAGTGATTTTATTCCTGTCTCAAGGGGGTAATCTGGACGTTTCCTGCAGGAACAAAAGCCAACGCTCAAATACCCAGTAATAATTAACACAAATCCCCAGTGGTAAAACAAGTAAGGGAGCAGATCCTCCAGAGCACTAACCCCCGGGGAGGCAAGGAAACAAACCCCCTTATTTTCATATACTTTTGACAAGTAACCACTTTGGTATGATTTTTACCATGACAAGCACAAGACTCTTAGAGAAGCCTGAGGCTCTATCAGGTTTGGAGAAAGAGGTTGGAAACCCCAAGCAAAGTGATGTCTAGGCCTCTAGCTTATCGGTATTACTCCTCTTCTATAGAATATTCTATATTCTTCTATATTCTATGCCTGGTTTCAAGGTACTGGGAGGCTTTTGGCTCCTGTGCTTAGGACAGAAGGGTCTCCACAGCCCTAGGGCTACCCTAGAGCAGGGGCTGTGCTGGTAAATGCAAGGGATGAGGGCAGGGGGGATACAGAGGGATGAGGGCAGGGGGGCTACATGTCTCAGCCCAGGCGAGCAAACCCATGCGCTTCCCAAGAGGGCCCTGCAACCATCACACTGACAGGGCTGGGGCAGAGAGGGGCAAACACACGGGAGAGGGAGAGCCCAAACCCAGAGCATCCACACCTGCCCAAACCCCACGCTGCTGGCAAGGGGGTTAGATGCTTTTTAAAATGCATTTAAATGTAAATCGGGAGGCAGTTCTGACCACCAACCTTGGTGAGGTTTCTCCCTCTGGAAACACCAGCTCTTGAAACACCAGCTTGGCCATGCCCTTGCAGCCCTCTCTTGCCTTAAGGCAAACAGCACTTGATTATCAGCAAATCCGTAATTCATTGTGAGGCAAATCCTTCTCCATTTGATAAGATAATGTGTGTCAAAAGACAAGCGTGAAGCATTCATATACACACAGAACCTTCATCATATATAAATTGGCAAGTGCACCTAATGAAACCATCTGCCCAACCAAGTGAAGCAAAATAGTAACAGATCATCAGGGTGATAATGAGAGTGTGGGAAAGTTATTTGTAAACTCCTCTTTGAAAAATACCCTAACCACAGCTAAGGCTGCTGCCTGGAGCAAGTGCTCTGATAACCAAGAATGTTTTTGCAAGTATTTTTACAGGATTGGTGTAAGTGATACCCACCTGCTGCTATATCCCTGGCAAAATCTTGCCATTTCAAGTGTTGTCTGCTCAGTCACCAGGTGTTTTACCAAGCTCAGCTGCACACACAGAGTGAGGGGTCCCAAAGTACTCCAGGACCAATGAGAGCTCTGCTTCGAGCTAGAAAGGGGCACAACTATTTGTAAGTTTAAAACAAAGCCTCTTCATAAGTATTTTTTAAGATCAAAGACTAAACGAGCACAGTCAACATCCATAAAAACAGCAGCTGAAGAAAGAGGCACTGCTCTTGTATGAGCTGGGAATGAAAGCGTCACATCCCGATCACCCTTTTGTCACCTGCGCAGCTTTGTTTGTGTAAGTACCTTTTAAAGATACCAGTTGAGGAAAGAGCATTTTTAAAGCATCATTAAAACACGTTCAAATATTAAAAGAACAATTTTAATTCCAGCAGTTACATCTGGCCCTTGAAAGTTTGCGTGCCTTTATGGCCTTCTGTGGTTCAGAAGACACCAGTGGGTGCCAGAGCAGAAGCACAGCGTCCCCACTGTGCTGGAGGGGACCCCAGCTCCCACAGCCACATGTGTGGGACGAGCCAACACCTCTCTGCAGGGAGGTCCCAGAGGCTTCAGGCGGGGACAGACTGGGGAGTGCAGCCATGAGGCAGAGCTGTGGTGACAGTCACATCTGGCAGGGTGAAGCGAGAAGCTGAATAAAGCACTGCACGGCTGCAGAGAACGTGCAAACTTCAGCTCACCTGCAAGGGCGCATCTTTAAGAGGCAGCCTGTTGCACGGAAAAGTTGGCAATTCACCAGCACCAGCTTTTTGTCTCACAGCTCCCACCTAGTTGTAAAAAGCAGCTCTGCTCGTAAATGTGAGAACAACAGCTCTGCGGGCAGCTCCGGCCTCTGGGCTCCCTGTACCTGCTGCCTTTGGGGTGGGGTGTGCGTGTGGCTGCTTCTCCAGTGGGAGCACATCCACAGGCCAAACAGACCTTGGCACCTCCAGCCAAACAGGCTGTGGTCAAACCCTGAGAGAGCTGCTTCATCAGCCACAGCCCCTGGCCATGTGCTGTCCCCTCCCCGTGTGGCAGGCACGGAGAGTCACTGGCAAAATAACCTTCTTTTTCGGCTGATGACTGCCTCAGCCTAGCTGATCCCTCTGCCACAGAAGGGGACGTGCCCCCAAAGGGGCAAGCAGGGAGTGGGGCAGGGCCCCGGGTGGCTCAGTGCCATGGCTGAGGACAGACACACCACGCTACACCCATGGGCTCCCATGTCTTTCCCTCCTAACAACACCCGAGTGACTTTGCTGAACCTTTGGCCATGGGAGCTGCCCGTTGTCGAACAGGGCAAGGACCTGGCACCAGCAACAGCCTGATCCCACCTGCACTTGGACCACATTCACAACAGGAGGCTGAAGTTAAGGATTTTTGCCCTGAAAGGAGTTTCTCCGTGGCTTCTGCTGCATATATAACCCGCAGCACGTCCCAATGCCCAGATGTGCCTGGCTTAGGCAGTTTTTACAGGAAGGCTTTGCACGGCAGCTGCTTTGATGCTCCTTCAACAGTTCAGGGCAGAGCAGGACAACCAGCTGCTCCCAGCGCTGCAGAATTTCAGCTTTAAGCTGGCAGCACATCCAAGCAGTGTGCATGAGCCTACACGGCAGTGCCCGGAGACCCCCGCTCCGGAGAAAAACACAGATGTTGCATTGAGCCTGTCACACTGAGCTCAGAGCCAGCACACCCCGTAAAATTCATTTGATGTGTCCATTTAAACGGGGTACTGGCTCGTGCCTGTGTACCCAGCAAGGAATTTGCTCATTTTCCATGAGCTGTTCATTTTGCTGCGGTACCAGTGTGAGGTTTTGGGTGCAGACACTACACTGGCAAAACTCATTTTGGAGAGGTCACCAGGAGCGATCTGGGGATCCACCATCTCAAGTGATGCTACTCCGCTGGCCTCAAAGCTGAAGCCATAGCCCAGCTGCAAAAACCATAATCTTAAATGAAAGAACACAAGACGAAACCCAACCTTTCTTAGTGCCGCTCATTTATCACTTAATTAGTGTCACACAGTAACAGTTTTGAAGGCTGAGAAATAGGATCAAGATCAGGTCTCTGTGACTGCTCTGCTTAGTGAATGAGATTGTACCCAGTATCCAGCTGCCCGAGGGGAAAACAGTGAACCTAGTGTTTTATTTCTCACGTATAGTGTAAAGTTAAGTTCTTAAGTAGCTCTTTGGTAGAGGGCAGGACACTAAATCATGGGTTTTTTTTTTTTTACATCGGGGGCAGAACAAACTAAGGAAACCTAAGTCTCATGGTTAACAGCGTCATGTAGGATTTCACAGGATTTCAGATAAAGTCTTGTAAGTACTTGTCCATCCATATCTCTCTTTTCTGGAAACACCTCACCTGATACCTTATCACCATTTCCCTCTTTCCACGCCCGTAACTCGGGTTTCTCCCAGCCGTGCTGGAGCTCGCTGTATTTCCCCTTGGAGCTGGGCACCCCTCTGCACACCCAGCCTCCCCGCACAGCTCCCTCCTCTAGTCCCAGCTTATATATGACAAGGTATGCGTGGAACACGCCGCATGAACAGTAGCTAGAAGCCGGTTGGGATGTCCAGGGGAGGGTTGGTACAGCCGGTGCCCCGGCCTCCCGCAGCGAAACGGAGCGCATTACGCAAGTGCGTTAAACAGATGCCGCCTATAGACGCGGCAGCGCAGGGGAAACATTAAAGATCCGCGCCCCGGCGGTGCCAGCCCCCTCAATCCCACGGGTTTTCCCTCCCCAAAGCCTGGTTCCGCGCCGCAAAAGCCCCGAGCGGAGGCGCGCAGCTGCTGCGGCAGAGGGGCGGGGCGGGGCGGAGCGGCGCGGAGAGGCGCGGAGCGGCCCCCCCCCCCCGGCTCGGCCGCGGCCGGCGGGGCGCGGAGAGGAGCGGGGCGGTAGGTATATAAGCGCGGCGGGGCGGTGGGCTGGGGGAGAAGCGGTGCGCGGTGGTGCGCGGAGCGGTGCGCGGAGCGGTGCGCGGAGCCCCGCGGGAGGTGAGGCGGCGGGGGCGTCCCGGCACGGCTCGGTGCCGGCGGTCAGCCCCGGCTCGGTCAAGGGCATCGCGGGGTGGAGGGTTGGGGGGAGGCCCAGCGCTTCCCCAAATGATGGGGCGGTGACCTTGGGCGAGCGCGGCCGCGCACTCTGCGCGGCCGGCGGCGGGTCCCGAGAAGCGCGGGAGGAAAGGCCTTGGAGCAGGGGTGGCAGCAGGAAAATCTCCGAGATGTGCCCTGCCCGCCCTTCCGCAAGGCTGGTGGTGTTCCACCGGGACCTACAGCCTCCAACAAGGTCTCTCCGGACTTGTTGCTGTAGACCTGAAGGCAGGGATCCCCAGGTGGTGGTGACAGAGCTGTCGGGAAGATGGTTTGTCTTGACAGGGGTTCACTGAAAAGGAGCCCAACACCCAGAAGTGAAAAGGTTGAAGCAGGAGGGGAGTGGTGGAGGAGGAAGGAAGGTGAAGGTGCTACTCAGACCGTTGTGGTGGTAATGCTTGTTGTTTGCAGATTGCTGCTCTTTGGTTTTCTTAGAGGTGCTGGTTGCTCCCAGTAACCCTTCAGTGTGAAGTAGGTGCGAGAGTACCTCCCTGTTGTAGAAGTTGGGATAGTATAGAGGAGAATCCCTCCAAAAAATGCTACTACTCCACTTAATCAGCATGCATGGTACTTTTTGGACTGTATATTTTAAAATGCTTTAGGAATCGGGATGCTCGTTTATCTTTTGCTCATGATTATCATGAGTATGGCACAAATAAATATGTCTTGAGAGCAATTCTGCAAGTCCTTGGAGTGGTTTCTAGATGGTGTGGTTTTGGCAGAGAAATGCAGGGAAGCTCTCCACAGAGTGCTTACGTTGTTCAGCCAGCAGAAATGGGAGATGTGGCGAAAGGGCTCCTGGAGAGAAGCTCAGGGTCACAGGAATATTTGCTCCATCACCCCTGTGCCTAAAAAGTGTCCAGGATGTACGATGTGGTGAGCAGCAGCAAAATTCAGGTGCTTCAGCTGGCTGATAGGAAAAAAAAAAAAACATCCATCACTCTGCACCGTGTTCTGCCAAGCCAGTTCTTATTGAGCTTTGAACTTGTGCGGTGCGTCCCTCAACCCTGGCCACGCTCCTGGTGTGTAGAGCCCAGTGAGTGTTCCCCAAACCAGTTGCCCCGGGAGGAGAGGAGCCCACGCGACTGGGCTGGACCGGCCACTCGGCCACGTCCCCGCGGAGGGGAACGGCCTTGCCCTGCTTCACGGGCGCTGGCTCCTCTGCTGCCACAGCTCCCACTGCCTGGTGTGGGTGTACTGGGGTGTGAGCGAAGCACCTGAAGTAGTTGTCAGCAGGTCACTCTGGAGACCTCTTCTTTTCTTTTCACCCATGCCGTCTGCTCTAGTTAAACACAACGTAACCCAGCCCCTGCGGCTTTTTAGGAGAAATGGGCACAAGGGCGCGTTGCAACTTGGAAGAGCCTTGTCTTGCCCCGCTGCCCAGGGGTATTTCTTGTGTTTTCCCCGCTAAAAACTAAGAGTGGCTTTGCTCTCGCTGCTTTTGAGGGGTTTTCTGCTATATCGATGGTTTTCTCTGTTCAAAACTGCTCGTAGGGATGAAGTGGCCTGGGAAGGAAGCTGTCCCTTACTGTATATATACAGGGTTAAATCGATTTCTGTGAAAAATGTGAATCTCCCTTTTTACTTCTGTTGCAAGTATCTCACTTCATTTTTCTCTTCCTCTTTTAGACCAATAACTGGCATGGTGCAACACTGCTTCCTTTCATTAGATCTCAGAGGAGATGCACTTGCACAAGAGTTCAGTACCTGTTTTCCACTAATACCTGTCATAATTATGACAGTATTCACCTTCTCATATTACATAAAACCCAAGACCAGCCATTATTTTCAGCTGCTTCAGAAATGACTCAGAGCAAACCAAAGAAGTCTGAATAAAATGAGAACTACATTTGAAAGTAAATCTTTTTGCAGAGCCCAGACATCTTAGCTATTTTGTTTATAGAGTGATGTGTTTACACAACCTGCTGAACTTTAAAGTCTTTTAAATCCCCTTGAAGGATGTAGCCGATGTCCCAAATCTGAAGAGTCTCACAGGAACTGAGGCTTTTCACCAAGAGCAAAGCCAAACCCCCTCTAAGATACTTCCTTGAACAGTTCTTCAAGAACCCTCAATTTTTAAGTATTTGCAATTTAAACCTGGTGCTGGTCTCTAGTCACAAATTTCAGGTCTTGTTTGGGAATCAGCAGTCTTTAAAACCATGTTAATAAACTATGTTTACAGTGAAAATACAGGGAAAGCCCTGAGATTTCAATCTGCCAATTTACCTGTCCTCTGGCAGAGCTTATCACCAGAGGCCAGTTCTGCTCCAACGTGCAAGTCCTCTCACTCGGGGAGGACTTAGAGCCCAGAGAAAGTTGGAAAGGAAGAGGTTTGTACATAAGCTGTAAGAAGCAGCTAGTTATGTAAGAAAATGGCTGAGGAAACTTCAGAGGAGGGAAGAACAGAAAATTCTTTGAAAAATTAATTTGGCCTTGGAAGAAAATGGGACAGAGCTGCTCCAAGAATGTTTTTGTTAGAGAAGCTGCATCTTTTTCCTCTGTGCCTGAGTAGAGAATGCACCAATAAATCAGCCAGGCATCAAAGTGTGTGGGGGTTGATATTTTTTTGTTTTTGTTTTTAATTATTGTGGGTTTTTTTAATAGGAACGGCCTACAGTTTTCAGAGAGTAGTTAAGGTGTGAAATCAGTCTAAACATTAACTGTTTTCAACTGCTGTGCTGTTACTTGGATGGCTGGAGCCTCTCTCCAAATCAGATCCCTATGGGTGCTGCAGATCATCCTCGCCTTTCTTGAGGGTCAACAGTTGATATATCACATTTAAAATTACTTCCTGCATTGATGTAGGCCATCATACACTCGAGCTGTGTACTCAACTTGACTGGAGGAGCAAAGAGTATTTCCGAAATCATCTGGGTGTATTGCAATCCAGGCAGAGAGAGATAGTCTGACAAGAATCCGTTTGCTCCACTGACGGCTAAATTACAGCACCAAAGCAGTGTTTGGGACCGGAGTATCCCTGGGGAGCTGCTGAAGGAGCGTGCACACGGGGACTAGGTTTGTGTTCAGAGCTGGAGATGAGGAAGTCCGGGTCACATTTTGTGCAGGTGTGGCATTGCTACCCAATGGGTGCCTTGCTGCCTTTTTTGAAGCTACCAAAGGTAAAAGGAAGTCAACGGGGGAAGGTGTTTGGTAGACTCCTAGGTCTTGTATGCATTACGTAACTTTTTCCATTTAAAATAAACCTCTTTTTCCATTTAAAAGAAACCTAATAGCACCTCAACTTGACCACTAAGGTCAGCAGGAAGGAGGGTTGGTGTTGACAGATTAGGTAGCTGCTGAAATTCGTCCTTCAAAGCAAGGTAAAGCAGAAACGTGGCTGGAAATGCCATTGCCTTTTCTGCCTTATCATTTCTACTCCTGAAGTATTTTTCCACTCCTGCAAGATTTTTTCCAAAAAAACCCATAGGCGCAGTCAAACCGTGTTCACCCACATGCAAAAATGTCTGAGTCATGTACCGCAATAAAATTTTACCAGCTCTGAACTTCATTCTGGTGCTGCATGGATGGTGGCAAGAACACGTACATAAGAAGAGTTTACAATTCCTGTAGCACAGTAGCTGGCAGGAATGTATGGCCAAGCACACGATGCGGTGCTGATTCAGGAAGATGAATGCTGAGGAAGAGAAACCAGAGATGGCCTCGCTGCTGCTGCTATGCATTTTTACTCCAGAAATAGAGGGGGGGGGGGGTAATTATTAAAATCTGCATGTAAAACCATTTTTAACGGTGCGTACTTGTCCATAGTGGGAGCTGTGCTGGGATTATTGCTCCTGTTCTCATTCACGTTTTGTCTGGCATTACCTCTCTGTGAAAACAAGCTTTAGGGTACGTTTAAACATCCATGTGTAAGTGCTACAGTAACCGGAGGGTTTCTGCTTGTCAGTAGGTAACAGGCAGCTTTCTAGGCTGAGCTGATGGTATATGGCCACGGGCCACGCTGCGTACGGGGGAATCTGAGCAGCACAGATGCAACAGAGGAACAGACCGAGACGGTGGCCCAGGGACATGCTGGCATTCAGATTCTCTGCACAACTTTAACTGCTGCCTCATCTAAATTTCTTCCTGATCTCTTCCCAATTACTGGTCCACAGGACCTGTGTTTCATTCCTCACGCATTATGCTTGGTGCTCACTGAATAAAACGTATTAAAGCAAATGCATGATGGATGGGGAATGTGAATTGGTCTATTTGCACTTACAGAAATGTCGGTCTACATGAAATCAATGGGTTCATCTCGGAGTTATGTTAGCATTAAGAGGGACAAGACAGGTGCCTTGGATAAATTGGGATATTCTGTCTGAATAACAGCAGAACAAACCCATTTAACACAACAAAATTACAAATAAGGAAGAACAATTGCGGATAAACAACTTGCAGAGAGGATATATATTTTAGTACCCAAGGGGGATGACTACCCATTCATCTTTGAATACCTGAAATTATTTACATATCAGACAACTTTAAAATAAGGCACTTTGCCTTCTCACACCTGTCATTTGGAGCCTGCGTGTTGCAGGCATCCTGCATACGAGACCAAATACAAGCCTCAGGGGCTCGTGGCAGGATTTTATTTAAGCTTCAGCGTGAGTGCAATCCCTTAGGACTCTGCAAAACCCACCAACTCTTGCTTCTGTGCTATCACAGCAATTATTTAGCAAATGGCCAATTTTTAGCCCATTAAAAGTATGCCTTTTGGGGATGGATTTATTGTTTGCCTGATTTTTCCTTCCTACCTTATTTATAACATTTAGCCCTGTTTCACACTCAAAGCATCTGAGACCACCTGTTTAATGATTAGGGGGCTATCTCCAGCTCCAGGGTTTGGGATTTCCCCACTCCAGATAAACTTACCTAGACTTGAACAGATGTTGGAAACCCTTTTTCTCTAAGTCAACCAAACTCTCCTGCTGAGGGCGTAAGGTATTTTTCAAGCATTCTTTGGAAACCAGTCTATCCCAGTTCCCCTGCAAGAATGTTTCTTTCCACAGGAATTTCCCAGCAGGTGCATTTTGCCAGGTGCTGTCCAACCACCAGTCTGATTTGCAGACTGCTAGCGTGAACAAAGTCCCCCAAACCCCTGTTGCTCAAAGCAGAAATTATATAATAAAGAACCTAACACTGGCATCTTCAGGCTACAGCTCCAAACACTAGCTCTAACACTTGGAACTAAGGTTATTAATAAAGACATTTTTGAGATTAGGAATGCTCTTAAATGAAGTTTGGGATTTTTTTTTGGATGATGATTTATCTTTTCAGCTGCCCTCATCAGATACATGTGTCAACAAGCAAGAAAATCAGGTTGCCACTTAAAACAATAAAAGCTGCTTTACAGGTTCCTCCTCTTGCTTTTTCTGCTTGGAGGTAAAATTGCTGAAAATAATTTGACTATTGCTTAATGGTTTTAGAAGCTGAATTCTATTAATTTTATTCATAGCTGGCTGTAACATTCCCATGGCCTCTAAACAGGAAGGCATTTCCACAACACAACTGAATACTTAAATTCAAATTTGAAGACAAATGAGCACTAAGTTAAAATTGCCTAACAGCAAATTATCTCCTGCTCTGGAATACTGAGAACTGATGAGCTAATTACACAGGGCCCTTTCAACTCAGAGCACCAGCTGATTGTGGCATTAATGTAATAAAACCCAGTAATGCTTAAAAATGGAAGTGGAAGCCTCTTTAGGACAAGTCCTCTTTAAAATACAGAATTTTTAGCCTCAAGAGTTTTTGTTTGTCTAGTGATCTGCCATTCGCTTTGATTATTGCTAGAAGGTAATTAGCCTAGGTGGTAAGGCTGCCTGAGACCTCTGGCGGTGTGGAGCTTTGGGTTATTGCTTATACTTAAAACTGGCCTTAAATTAATGCAAGTGGAGCGCCTTCAGAGAAGGTATCTGTATCACAGGAACACAGTGGATTCTTGTATCTCATCGACTGTGCAGCTGGTTTAAGACAGCTTTGTTTTTTCCTTCCCTCCGATGTTTTCCTTTTATAAATTATGCATCTAGACTTGCATTACCCCAAGACAACCCTTGTGTTTGCTGCATTTCCAAGACGGCTCTGCTAACGGAGAAAGTCTCTGGGTAGATTAAATGCAGTGGAAGTGTGTTAGCGGTGAGGACGGAGACTGTAATTTGACTGTCTGACTTTTACTTATCTCACCCTCTATCACTCATTTGGAGACCGCGCGGTCTCCGCATTAAGACGGCTCGCGTTCTTGCTGGTAGCCCAGGGAGTCCCATTACAGGTGTGCCTGGGGTTGGAGTCATCCCCCTGGGCCATGAACTGGAAGAACTGAAGAAACACAGGCTGGCTGCTAGGAGTTGGTGTCCAAGCTGAATGGAAATACAGTCCCCAGGCTGGAGAAAGTGTAACAAGGTCTTTCGTATAAATCAAAAGGCCTGCTCCTTATTTTAATTATTTCATATTTTATTCACGTATCCCTCCAACACAGCAATGTCTAGTAAGAGATAGTGGTGAGTCTGCAGCCTGGTAGACTGGTTTAATATCAGTAAAATCAGCCTGGGGAATTTTTTTCCTGTCTTTGGCTGTCCCTTATACCAGCTCTGTATTAAGACATACAAGTGCATGTGCCACTGTGGGCAGAAAGCTCCATTAGCCTGGGATCTCTCCCCTCAAAACCACTGCAGCACCCCTCTGATAACCTTGTAGCCTTAAATACTCAGAGCAAGCACTCCAGCCTTGAGTTTCTCCGTGTGGCAGGCAGGCTTAACAGATATTTACCCAAGAAAGGTATGAGTTTAACTAGCACAGGTATAACCCCAGTGTAAATACCATAATCCCAGATAGTATGAGAGGGCCCTTATCATTTTCCTTTCAATTGTATAGGAAAGGGCTTAACCTCTTCATTGAAAAACGCTGCTCTTTTTGCAGAAGGTATAAATAGAGACACTTTTGGCTCCCGGTGAGTCACAGTTTGCCAGCTGTGCCATTTCTTCTTATAGGCTTTGCAATATTTACAAGGCTTTAAGGCCTCTCTTGAGTTCTGCCTTAAAATAATTTATCTGAAAGGAATCATCTTCCATTCATACCAGGACAGAAACCAGTGGTGGCCTTTCTCCCCAGCCCGTACCCTTGCAAGTAAAGCTGTTCACAACAAAGACAGTTTTGACCCCCAAAAGCATTGTAGGCAGCCTCTTGGTCTAGGAGATAGGGGGAAGATGTAAGTGAAGGAAACAGACTGCTGTGGGAGAAGAAGGGGAAAAGAAGATATATTGGGAAAGGTACTGATGATCGGAGGACACGGAAGAAGAGGGGCTGGGGGAAAGTAAAGGCTGTACAGAAATTTTTGCTGCATAAAAACCTGCTAGGATGAATAAGCCTCCCTCCCTTTTTTAATGCACAGCGTTTACGGTTTCACTGCACTTGTTGCCAGCAAAGAGGTTGCGTTCACGGGGCTGTTGGGAGTTGAGGAGCAACTGGGGAACAGATGCAAGGAGGTCTGAACAGGAAGCTGAGGGATGGGAGGAGAAATACCGGGAGAGGAGCCAGCACGTGGATGAAGGAGGGGGAGCAAAGACAGTCAGCTCCCTTATCAACAGCACTGGAGAGGCAATTGGAGTCTGCCACGCTTAGGGTGAGCCTGCAGTTGTTGCCTTCCCAAAGAAGAAGGGGCAAAAAATCTACCTCACAGCATCTCCAGACGGCGAGGTGTGAGCTAGTCTGGCAGGTTGCTCCGTTTGCAACTTAATATGGGAATGTTGAACCTTAACAACTGGCAGTAACGGTGACCTAAAGGAAGAAAGACGGAGAAATACGATCCGTCAAGGTGCGTGCACTTAACAGCGCATCCACCGGGCAAGGATTTTACACATCAGTAACCAAAGTAAAGCTGTTACAAAACAAACCAGGGATCCTTTTTATTGGTAATTTGTCTTCCCTTTGTTAAATGCCCACGCACCACCAGAATATACTGTACAGCCTCCAGAGGCAGTAAACCACTGAATATTGTAATATATTTGGCCTATCCCAGTGGCTCATCGTTATTTTAATCACAGGCTGCAAATTTTGTAGTGCTACCTTAGTCTTTGTTGTTTTGAGGGACTGAAAATTTCTATCGCCCCAGACTCACTACGAACACAAGACTGGAGGGATGTGACATGTCCAAGCATCTCTCTTTCTGGCATTTTAGGCAACAGAAGTCTAAAACAAAATGATACATTGGAAGGTTTTTCAGCAGTACTAAAATCTGCTGTAGTCCCTTTAACTGTGAGCCAACCTGGTTGGCATGTGTGTCCTTAAATTCAACCCCCAAAATAAAGGTGTCCCTCTGTGAAGCCTCGTACACTTGTTTATCATTCCATCTCTGTATTTTCTCTAAATAGATGTTTTTAGCCTGAATTTAAAGATTATTTAAAATACTGAAAAGCCATTTTAACAAAAACACAATGGAAGGCAAACCCCATTTCCTTCTTAATACTTGCTCAGCCATTCTCCTTTCCGTGTGGAGATGAAACAAGGAAATGCATAAAAGTATTACCTGAGAGGAAAATCTTTCCTAGACTTATAACTTCCATTAAATACTCTTTTAATCTGTAATCTATCTTGTTTCTTTGTAATGAGCTGAAAAAACTTCTTATGCTATTTGAGATGACTTTTTTCCCTCCCTTTCACAGCTTGTTTTTTCTTTACTCCCAACGATTGCAGAATAATAAAAATTATTATTATCAGAAGTAAGCAGAGGAGCTTTTCCAGAGCAGTTATTTTAATCTCGTCTTTATTCCAGAGCATATGAATCTGCCATCCACATTGATGAAAACTGGCCCAAGGACTTCCCTTTCTCCCTTTTAAATGCCTATCTCCCTGATTGCCACGTGAACCCAGTGCCTTTGTAAGCTAATAGGGTTTTAATTCCTACTGCAGAGTGAACAGCAAAACACACTCATAATCAGAACGTAGGAATTGAGAGTGCCCAACTGATTCAGCATCAGTAACTGCAAGCAGCAGTTGCTAGAGCTAAAGATTGTTTTCCTCTGTTCCAGGAGAGCAGAGGCTGGTGATGGTACCAGTTTGTTATTTCTGTTTGAACTTTATTTTATGCAACAATTACGTGTGGTATCAAACTGGAAACGATGATCACCGCATCATTTTTTAGTTCCAGGCCTTTCTTTCCACTGCAGCTGTAATCCAGACTTCTCTATCGTTACAGGTCATCTTCTCAAAATCACTGGAAGCTGAAGATGGATGTGAAGCGTGTGAAGGACTATATCTATTGGCTGTACTACCAGTACCTGCTGATCACCTGCAGCTACGTGCTGGAGCCCTGGGAGCGGTCCATGTTCCACACCATCACCGTGACTGTTTTCGCTATGGTGGTGTACACGGCTTACGTCTTCGTCCCCATCCACATCCGCCTGGCTTTCCAGTTCTTCTCCCAGATATTTGGAGGCCAGCCCGAAAGCACGGTTTCCATCGTGAACTGAACTTGCCCCAGTCGTGACTAGCAGCTCTTGCAACTTGTGAAATGCAATGTCTTCTTCAATTTTGTGTATTTATTCTGAAGCAGTTTTGCAGCTGTGAAAACACCATTTTCTCTTACAAAACCTGGCTTGCTTAACTACCATCACTGAAAACCAGAATAATGCACTGACTACTGGCTGCACAGTCCCTGTTAAATGAAACACAGGCCAGCTTTTGCTGTGTGATAATGAAACGCATCACCTGGAATGCCACATTTACCTAATATTCAACTGGCTCCCACTTTCAGCACCTTAATGTAATCACACTGGCATGGATGAAACAGCAAAGACTGTTTATGATGGCTGTGAGGAGGGGAACTGCACTCAGTATACACAACGAATTTCTGCCAACGGAGCCCAGTGGCAAAACACACCATGCCTTCTTTGACCCAGGTTAGAGAATATAAGGAGATGAGTATAATACAGCATGATTCGAGTACTAATACCTGGCTAGTTATTGACTTCTGGTTTTTAATTGATGAGAGAGGAAATTAGAAGAGAAAGCAATAAGAGTATGAACTCAAATTTAACTTTTTTGTATCTAAGTTGCTGCATCTGTCTGTAGGTGATTTAAGAGAGTAAAAAAAAAAAAAAACAAAAAACAAAAAAAAAAAAACCATACTACAGGTAATCTTGCAGTTTACCAAAAATGACAGAGTCGGTACACTCTTGCCTTCTTTGATAAAAAACGAAACATCTTTTCTTTCTGCTCCCATTCGGCAAGGCAAGCAAAGTGCATGTCTGCACCAGAGGAAGGAGTGGAAGTAATATTTTAATAACTGCAGGGAAGTCTGAGTGCTTAAAGAGATCTGCTTTATAAAGAAGAAATTAGTTTTATTATAATTGCCCATGGGAAGTTTCTTAAACAATGGAAGGTTTGTTTGGCTTTCACTTTACACCTAAATCAAACGTCAATGCCAGATCATAAGTTATAGCTATGCAGTGCATGTATCTAACAGCTGATGCTACTGTTATTAGAAGTGAGAGGTACAAAATGTAAATAGCTTTCAAATGATGCTTGCACAGTTATAGGATTAAAAAAACCCTCTTAACTTCTTCATCAAGCTGCAGTGCATGCTTAAAATAACACAGTTTGTTTGGAAACTAAGACATGTTTTGAAGGTTGAACAGATCTGAACATGTGTATGCAGTTTTTGCAGAAAAAAATAAAATTTTATTCTTCAGGAACAATGTTTCAGTGTGAGACTCGGCTCTTCCTGTGCTTTCTATTTGTTCATAAATACCCTGGATGTGTGTGGGCCAGGCTGACACCATGGCAGACAGACTATTTTGTTGCAAATGTTTTGGAACAAGGTTTCAGAACCCCTTAAATGGATCCCTGTGCCGACCGCCATGTTCATCCTCATTAGTGCTCCAGCCCAAGACCTCGCCCCTCTCCGGTGGTGGGGAAGGAAAAAACAAAACAAAACAAAGCAAAAACAAACAAACAAACAAAAAAAAAACAACCCACCAGAAACTTCATTGAATATCCTGCTCCACAGACCCATTCACAAGGTCCTGAAGGCAACTCCTGGGGATGCACAGGTCTCCTGCTTGTCAGAGGCCACGTTCATCGCATCATCCTTGCTACCTGTGCTCAGGTTCTGGCTCACGCCTGAGCCACTTGTTCATCCCACCAATACAAGCAGGTCATGGACGTGCCTGATTTCTCCTGCCACCAGCCACTGCCATGCTTCAAATTAAGGCAGCGAATAGCTGCGTGTGCTAGTGGCCCAACAGTTGAGCGGGTTAGGCTCAAATAGGAGCCACAGGCTTAGCTGTTTTATCAGTTTAATCATAGCTGTTAACCTGTAAATATGAGGCATTAAGCTGTAACCACGTTTACAGTAATAAACGGAGCATTGGAGGAGACAAATAATGTCAAGTACCTGTGAAAATTTATATGAAAGCAGTCTATAAAAAAAGTCACAACACCAATGTTGAAGGTGAAAAAATGAAAGTAATTACCTAGCAAGTTGGTGCTTGAACCAAAAGTACTTCCCAATATCCTATCCTCAAAAGATTCTAATTTTTAACTAGATAATGTGGTGATGTAAATGTCATGTCATCTCCTCATCAATCCTGTTTCCAACAACATCTTATTTTTTAATTTCTCAGAAAGGTTATCTGTTCCCAATGGCATCAAACACAACTGACCTGCTTTTAGGAGCACAAGGAAAACACTTTCTTATAGGTATGTTAAGGCTGGGCCTCATATCTCCAGGAGCACACACCCCAATGTAATGTTGCTATTTAAACATTTAACTTAAAGCAAACAGAGCAAGCAAACGGCTTTGTTCAGGAAGAGGGAATTTCCACTGACCTCTCATGGTGGGATTCCTGTAAAGCACTTCTCTTCCTTATTATTCCTGTTATCTTTGTTTAGCTTTGCGGGAGGTGCTCGGAAGATGGAGGGGAACAGCAGCAGTTTCTCTTTGGGAGGGTCCCTACAGCCTTATTTAAGTGAAAACACTTTTTTTTTGTGTGCATACTTCAGCTTCTTTACTAAAGTTTAAAGTTTCTGGGCAAGAGGTACTCACCAGGAAGGAAAAAGACAGCTGAAAATAACCTCTCTCTGCTAAAAGGCCTTCTGAGATTTTTCCAACCCTTTTCACTTCTCCTTTCTTCTAGAAAAGCTGAAATAACTCTAGCTACTTAATATTCAAAATTAGTGGGTTCCAGCAGGAGATTTCAAAGCATTTTTTGCACACAGCAGTGAACAGGAACATTTTTTCCCTGGCTGAAAGGGGGAGGAGGTGGAATACCACTGTCTACAGCTTGAGACGCACCACAGCTTAGGAAACTGCTCCAGTTTTTAAATCCTTTTCCCTGTAGTTCATACACTATGGAAAGAGGTTTTCATGAGATTACATCTGCACACGAACGTGGAAGCACCCTTTGCTGCGACAGCAACGAGCTGCAGGAAGAGGGTCGCGTTTCGGAGAGCTACCAGCAGACTTTTCAGTACATATGGGCAACAACTCCGTTGCAAAGTGTTGAGTGTCGGGCTCTTTATAAAACACCTTGGCAGGGCAATCTTTTCTCCTGCTTCATTATTACTCCATGTTAATTGCAGTTAATTGCTCCATTATTACCCTATGCTAATTGTTGTTCAGGCTGAGCACAGCAGCTGGAAGTTTTTACACAAAAAAAAAAAAAAAAAAAGCAAATGAAAGGACTATGTTAAGAAGAACCAATAATCCAACAGTGATAAATGAAACAAAAGCAGAAAGGGAGATGAACCAGTTCCAGTTGCATTCACCCTGAAAGTACAAATGCATCATTAAATTAAGCACTGAGAAATTTTTGGGCTCAGCTGGCCAGTACCATACCTCCCTTGTTTAAAATTCATTTTCTTAATTTCATTTAATCAAAGCTAGCATTTATCTTGCCGTAAAGGTTTCCTGGCTAATTTCATGGATCACCTCCCAGATCCGTTACCGAGGGTGACTGCACATGCACATCTCCAGAACATGAACCTCCAGAAGCTTCTTCCTGAAGCCCCTCCAGGCAGCCTTTACCCGAGACTACTAAAGAAAAGCTTCCCAGGGACCTCTTCCTCAGCAGTGGTCTTGCACAAGAAACACAGGGCTCAGCATCGCCACCACTGATGGCTCACCTAGCAGGCTTATTTCTAAGTTATTGTGGTTCATTCTTTTTATCACATGAACTAAAATGCAGAGTATGAAATATGGTAGAAGCATTTTATAGCTCAGAGGGTCACCAGTGGGATACAGACATCTCTGATCATCGGCTGCCAGCTGAACTCAGCTTACGCGACTAGTGACTAAATGTAGTGCTAATTTAGTTGAAGTGTGATATTCCCAGGTCTTTTCATACCCCCAGAGAGCCTTACAGTGGCTCCTGTCTGACTGCTTACTCAGCAGCAGGAAGAGAAAGCTCTATTTCCATCCTTTCTCCTGATGCTCCTAGAAAAGACTGGCAAAACAATCCAGGTGGTTGGTGGGGAAGCGCTGCCATTGCCTGTCCTACACATCTTCAGGGCATCTGGGATCAAACCAGTCACGTGTAGAGACAGGCCATCATCTGGGTGTCCAAGTTCATTTATATGGAATTCTCTGAAAAATGGGATCCCGTGTTTACAAAGTTTCAAAATCTTAAAGATGTACAAGTACAAATTTTTTTCAGAAGTTTTATTATCGCTGTTATTGGGCTAGAATTTAAGATTTTTGCTTTGGATGTAAATTCAGTGAAAAAAGTTATTTATTTCACTTACAAAGATTCATACAGTTATGGTTAAAGGTAAAAAGGCTCTAAAGTTTTTATCAAGTGAAAAATGTTATAAATGTATTTTAAATAATCATTTCTATAAAGGCCCTGCTTTAAATAAACCTTCCAAAACAGCAAATGGGCACCATCAATCAATAGCATGCAAAAACTAGAATGCATGAGATATGTGCCTCCACAGAGATACCTTTTTGAATCTTGCCTACAAATAAAAACGGTACGTAAAGAGAAATCACTCTGATCTCTGGGGTAGAAAGTTTCTTGTGGATTACTGCAAAGGAGAGATGTTGTCCTGATCTTGTACATGCGGAATTAACCCTGCCTGGCATACACACAGCACACATTGAGGAGGACTGTGAATATAACACGTTGTGTCTGTCTCCCTTCACCCCTTACCAAGGCAATGCTCCATTTCTAGAGTTTAATTTCCCTAATTACTTGGAAGCTAGGAATAATAATAATATTAATAATTAATAAAAAAAAAAAAAAACACCTATTTAAGCCATCATAAAGGAAGTACAGCAGGGTGTAGTAACAGTCAGCAGAACAATACAAGCTGCAAATCCCACTTGTGCAGCACCAGAATGCATGTGCCGAGATCAAGCCGATTCCTGCAGATGGATTACTGCACCCTGGGGCACAGACGTGGACAAATAGCAGCGTGCCGAGCCGAGCATTTGAAAAATAAAGCAGAAAATGCTAATTTTCAAATTAAATATTACTGAACTTGTAATAACTTTCTCATAATCACACAAAATGATCAACATCTAATGTTGCATCAAAAGCAGTGCTGTCCTCTTGCAGTGTATGAATCAGCCCCTAACCAAGTAATTTCAATGATTTACTCCTAAAATACCAAACCACGGCTACATCCAGATGGGATTAAGGGTTGGCTGAGCAGTGAGCGACCATTGTTTCACACCCCTCCTGCTTTGAAGAAGTTTCTACTGCAGACACTGATCTCCAGAGGAGGAAGGAAACCAAGCCCCATCTCTTCCCCAAGACCAGCGTCTGGCACACTGCGTGAAAAAGGATGCACCACTTTGTCCTGCTGTCCCAGTGAGAGTCCCACATCCCCTCCTACTAAACTTCCAAAACCAGGTGGGCTCCTCATTATTTCCAAAAATAGTGGGACGGCCTGTCAGGTGAAAGGGATATAAAATCACAATTAAAAACCAAATCTCTTTCCCCAGCTAAATTACTTGGTGGTTCTTAGCTTGCACTAAGCTCTCCAGCTGCCTGGAGAATTTTCCAGCACAAGCCCTGAACTGCCTCGTTCAGATCATACCAGCACTTCTCTCGAAGCCAAGCCTGATCAGAAAGTAAAAAACTGGGGGGGCAGTAGGAAAGCTAACCTCCTTCTAAAATACAGATCATCAGCTCCTATGGCTACAACAAACCACCCAAGACGCACCCTGTTGCAAACCTGTTGCAGTCAAGGGAATCATGGCAGGTGAAATCAGCAAAATGTCCTAGTAAAATAAACTACCTTGAATCTTGGGAAACGGAAAATTCAATGTACTATCGGAGTCTGCCAGCTGACAAAAGAGGTCAGACGCAGCACTCCCGAGGTCCTGGATCCGAGCGCGCAGCAACAGCACGGAGCTTGTCCCACGACTCCAGCAGCAAGAGCCAAAAGGAAACGGGCCCCTCTTCACTCTCTGTCCTTACACATAGGAAGGAAAACTCAGCCTCAACTGACTAAAGACCCCTTGGTTCAAAGCATGATCAAGTTTGTCCTTAATATATTTATTCCTTAGAGTAAGCAATATTTTGCCTGAATTTGAGGAGCCCAAGTTATGAAAATATCTCCAGGCAACTTAAATGGGAACTCCCTAGTTGTGAGGCTATGATTCACAGGTGGAGGTAAAAATTAACTCTCCGAGTTCACCTTTGTCATCACTGGTGTCTGCTCCACCCTAATTTCAGAGGCTGCTTTCAGTAGTTGCT